GCTTCTGAAAGTAGGGATGTAACATCCCATTTCAAAAGTTAAACCAGTTAAACATTAAGTTTAACTGGTTAACCAGAATCCTCACCACAGCACAGTGGGCCCAGCCAGCCTGGAGCAGCCCCCCATGACCCAAACATGATGCTTACTGGATAAGCAGTTAGCTCTTTACATCGCTATCTGAAAGATGTCATAAATATGTTTCTGTATTGCAGTTTAAATAAATTATTACTCGGAATTTTGTATTAACATGCGTAGCAAGGAATCTATATGTCAAAAACCCTTCTTGAATCTTTTTTGTTATCTGTATGGTTACATAGTTGCTGACAGGTGTTTTAAAATCAATTACCAAAATAATTGAAAGTGTCCTGATTCTAATGTGTTATTTTGACAAATAAAATATCCAGAATTTTTAAATGTCACATGTAGAATTTTAATTTTTTTTTTTACACAGAATTCCCCCAGGAGTAATACTATTTGCCATAAAAATGTTTGGAATAATTCAAAGTACTAAAATATGTACAGTTGGTATTACTGAATTATTACATAAACATCAAAAGCTTTGGTGGAGCAGTAAGATGGCCAGTGATGAACCAAACTGTATATGCAGCCAGGCCCCCTTATACTCTTTTCAGAGACGAAGCAAGGTGTTGCCTGATATACAAGTAGGTCATGTCTCTTTGGTATTTGCCATAATGATGATTTAATGAACAATGTAAATATTCATAACAGACTATTTAGATAATTTCCATGATATTTAATGACCAAATATACCATCTAACCACTTTCTACGAAATTACTGTGGTAAAAAATTTCAAACCTGTGTGCGTAACATTCAGTACCTAAATTCATATTTAGGCACCTTAATAAGTATGATCTTATTTTTTGAGGTGCTAGGCACCCAAAATTGACTCATGAGGGAACTAGCCAAGGAAATATCCACAACTGAAAAGAATATCAGGAGTGGAGAGAGTAAGAAAATGGTAAATATTGTTATCTTAAAAAGGAAATAAAAATAACATTCATGTTAATAACCAAAGCAATCATGTGTTTTCTGTTGCACCCATCCTTACTTCCTCTTCATCCCACCAGTACTTGTTATCACCTCTACTCGTGTCATGTCTTTATCTAGATTTTAAAAGATCACTGCTTTTTGTTTGTAAAACCAGAAGGGTTGGAACGCTCCCCTGTTGCAGGCAGGGACTGCTCCAGTCCTGCCAGAGCAGCCCCTGCCTGCAACAGCCCAGAACATCCTTCAAGCAGGGGCTGCTCCAGCATTCCGGTCAGAGCAGCCCTTGCTTGCTGGGCACCCAGGCCCACTGTAGGCAAGAAATGCGCTGGAACAGCTGCTCAATAAGGGTGAGGCTTACCAGTTGAAACTTCACATCCTTAAGACACAAGAGGCATGGTCAAACCAATTTATGATCCACAAGCAACTTTTTTATGGTTAAAGTGCAGTTCTCAAAGCCCCCAAGCTCCTCCCCTTCTCTACCTACTAAATGGGTTGGAGGAGGGGAGCTAGAGGTGTCACTCTGGGGCAGAGTGGTACTAAGGGCTTTAACCTCATAGAAGGTGTTGAGGCAGAAGCCCAACTCCCTGATAGGCACCACTTCACAGGGCAGAAACCCTGCATCCCAGAAAGCACTGCCCCATGCAGCAGGTTGTGTGTCTTGTGGCTTTTGAACATTTCAAGATTATTGCATGTGGCTCAGAAGATCAGTACATGTCCACCTCCTACCAGCCTGATTACATGTTTTCACCAGGTAAGTACAAAAGCCCATCAACACTTCAGTAAGCTGCATTCAAAACAAAGAAGTGAAGGATTTATAGCACATTCTCTTAGAGGTATGGGAAGAAGCAGACTGAAAAAGACAGCCAGACACAGGAATCCATTGGCAATGTCTGAAAAAGACAGGCATCTAGGTTTCCATTGTAGGAAGGGAGAACAATATGTAAGACAGACATGTGTAGGCTATTCGTTGTTTTGAAATAATTTGTTCCTTAATGCTTTGTTCAGATTACTAAGTAAAATACATCTTATTGAAGAAAGCTGTTGGTCACTATATAATTGGTTACAGGTTCCTCAAAAGAAGAAATGTAGATGCTTCAAAATCCCCTCAGAGTCTCAGAGACACAAGCAGTTGGTATATAAAAGGAACCAAACCCAAACCCTAGTCTAAGAGGGAAAGTCTTGTCTGATTCCACTCTGTGACCAATAAGGGCCTAACTCCTGTGAGCCTGCAATCACAAATTACAGAAAGGACGCAAGGTGCAGCTAGCCATGCAATGACAAACTAATTAATAATAAAGGAATAAAATGTGTGCAATTATTTAGAATAGACTAGAACAGCATTTCTTAAAGTGTGTTCCGTGGCACATGCACGAGGTAGTTGGAGGTGTGCCGCGGAGAGAACAGAATTCAAAATGGCTGCCCTTAAAGGGACAAGCCTCCTTTTTTTCCCCCCTCAACAACTTTTCCCTGGGGGCTTTTTTTTTTCTCAACAAAAAAAATCCTTCGTGTTCCCCATAACAAAAAATTATTGTTTGGTTCCTCAGTCTTTAAAAGTTTAAGAAACACTGGACTAGAACCTCTTATTTGGAGAGGAAGGAGGCTGAAAAAATGAATACATTTTTAGGAAATCTTGTAATGAATAGTTGTTTATATTTTATTATAGGTGTCTCTGTTAGCAATGCCTATGATTAAATTTGCTTAGCACTTTTCATTATAATATTCATTGCTTTAATTTACTTAAAACTTGATTAAATTGTGGGCATTTTTAGAGAGGACAATTTTTGTATGTTTTGTACCTTTAATTGTTAACTATTATCATTGTTCTGGTATTTTTGGCCCTTGTATATCTCATACTGCACCATGAACATTTCTCTGCCCAATTGAGCATCAACACGGATAGACTGCAGACAGCGTCATCCATGTTTTACTCATGTGGGAGGATGGGAACTATTATTCAGAGCAGGGGTTTTGAGTAGGGTTGCCAGATAGTTTCAACAAAAATACCGGACACTTGACATTACATCACAATCTACATTACATCTTATTTAGAAAATACTGGACATTTGTATTTTCTCAATTATTTTCTCAATTTGTTTCCCAAACAGAAAGTTCAAATACGCAAGTGTCCGGTTCAAAACTGGACACCTGGCAACCCTAGTTTTGAGCCAGTTTTATGTCACAATACCATTCCTATTTAGCTAGAACTAAGCAACATGCAAAATGATAGGGTGATCACCATCCCTGAAAGAGCGTCCCAACATTGAAACTCAGTAATCTTGAAAAAGAGTAACAAGGACAGAGAGAAAGATGTTATTTGGTCAATAATATGTCTCTATAAGCATGTACCTCATACATCATTTGAAAGCTTTTTTTTTTTTTAACAATGAGGTATGATATAAAGCTATCAAGTGTCCATCACTTCAGAAAAGGATTAGAGTGTGTGTGGAACTGTGCAAAAAATTACACTTTAATTGTGGTACTGTTGTTTCACCTGACTTACAAGCTTCTGGAACCACTTAATAGCCCCACCTCATACCTCATCTAAATACATATTAAATAAGTGATATATTAAGAAGGCATATTGCCCTTTTTTGAGAATTGCTGCATATCTAGTATAAGTGCAGTGGCAAAAAATGTAATAATGTGGCTCCATAAGATGCCATAGAGATACAGAAAATTAGCATTCATTAAAATAGAGACATGGAAGGGGAAGAAGAATTTTTATCCGTTTCCACATTTGTTGAGAGTATCATTAACATTTTAGCATATTGATTTTGAACACCTACATTGAACAGACACATTGGAAAACCTTTGAGTAGTCTTCAGTGTTGAAGATTTGAGGACCATAAATTCTGTAAATAAGTTCCAACTAAAGAAGCAATTAAGGACATGTAGCCAAAATTCACTTTGAGAAACACATTTCCAACAGACATTTGGAAAAGTTGATATTCAACATCTGCTTCCTTCACGTTTCCAGAAAACCCATTTACATTTTTGCTAGCATGGTTTATTTTATTTTTAACTAAAGGAATTCGATAACTAAGGAAAAGCACAATTGTTAGCTAATATCTGTTATTTTACTCATCCATAATCGAAATATAAACTAACATAATGAAATAACTAGCAGATGTACCTAGCACTGTTTTGAGTCTTTAAGCGAAGTAATGGGTTTTTGTGTCCTCCAGTACCTCCCATGGCCTGTAGCTGATCCAAGGGGTTGGGTGAGGCTTAGGGATGTTAACAAATGCTTATTGGATAGGCAACATGATAGTCGACTAGTCGCTCCCCCTCCTTTGCTTCCTCTATCAGATAGAGGCAGCAAGAGGTGGGAAATGAGGGGGATACTTCAAAGCGGCAGTGCCACGTGGAGCTTGGGATCAGCTGAGGACTCCCCAGTTGACCCTGGGCTTTGTGCGGCACTGCCGCTTTGAAACACTGCAGCTGCCCTATCAACTAATCAAATAGTCGATGCAAAAATGCATCAACTATTCAATTAGTCAATTACACGATACTTAACATCCTGAGTGTGGCTCTGGGGGCAGACCCCAGCCTCCAGCAGCCCATGCTCCCTGAGGCCTGCGGGCTATCTGCAGGGAGAGCAGGGCTCCAAAGGCTTCCCTGGCTTGCATTGAACCCCATGCTGCCTGCAGTATGGGCCACGAACCTCTCTTGGGGGGAGAGGGGCTCCTGGGTGGGGTCTAGAAAGTCCCAGGCAGGGAGAACCAGGGAAAGGGGCTACTTACCCGGTGTGCTGGCCACTCTCTTGGTGGTGAAGCTGCCCCCAATGGTCTCTCTGCAGTACAACTCTCCCCTGTGGGCTCGCTGCCCCCCAGTGGCCATTCTTCAGTATCACATCCTTCCTCTCTTCCATGTTATGGAAATAGTTCCAAACCCAGCACGTCCTGTTTTCTTGGCACAACCAATCCCTGGCCTTGCTTTAAGTTAGGGTAAGAGGAAGTTGCATACCAAATTTGGTGATCTTAGCTCTTACCATTTAGGACGGGGTGGCCAATCCACAGCTCTCGAGCTGCATTAAGGAAATGCGGTTCCTGCTGCTTCTGAGCCGCACGCCCAGACTTCTCACAGCCAGCCACTCTGCGCATGCACCCCAACGCCTGCTCACGGCTGGCCTCTCTGCGCACATGCCCAGCACCTGGAGGGACAAGCACGCGGCAGCAGCAGCAGCTCCTGGACCCAGACACTAGGTTAGAGCCAGGGAGGTGCCTGGCTCTGGGGGAGGGGAGGGTGATTGTGTTGGAACAGGGGGGCTGGAGGTGCCTGTCTCTGTGGGAGGGGAGGACTGAAGCACCTTAAACTCAGTCTTCATGGATGCAGAATAAGGCAGCCAACACAGATGTCATATTTAAATTCCCGGGCAAAAAAAGAATCAGCATGTACCCAATTTACACTGTGTTTCTTTAAAGAAAATTCAAAGGCTATTGTTTGCCAGGCTGAAGCAATTATTCTGAGATATGAATCTCTCCCTTACTGTTTTTGAACCCCTCATATTTGCAGTCTGGGAAAGACCTTAATTTTTAGAACTATAAAAAAGCTATAATCTTCATAAGTAAAAAGAAATGAGGAAACCATACCAGAAATCAACAAGCTGGAGTGAAACAGGCACTTCAAATTGTGCTAATTTACTTCTCAGCTCACGGAACATAATAGGGCAGTAGTGTTAAATTTAAAATACATGGTGCGGGTGCTTTTTTTTTTTTTTTTTTTAGTGTGAGAATATTACTGTATTTTTAAAGGTTTTTTTTTTATAATTTGATGTTTGTTCCTTCTCAAGTTCTCTGAAGTTCTATGGACTGACCATGAATTTTTTAAGTGACTAGAGACTTTTTGATTGTTTTTCGTTTGAAATGTCTTGTAATGTTTTTTTATCACTACATTTTGTGTACTATATCTATCTTTCTTTGTATAGATCTATATATAAAATATATAATACATGGCTCTTCAAACTCTATCCACCGTTATTTTGGCTCTTCGTCTCGAACTGGTTTGCCACCCCTGGTCCCCTGGTTTAGGAGGAATTCTTGAACAAATGGACTCTCAGACATGCACAGAGAGACACACAAATCTATAAAAGATAGATAAGAGAGAGCGAGAGAAGGAAGGAAGAAAGAAGGGAGGGAGGAAGGGACTGATAGATGGATTGATATTGGTAATATGTATGATAGTATACAAATATAAGTAACTCTTATTATAAACTAAATGGAATTTGGATAAACTAACTGGCTAATCTACCACACCAGGCAATGATCCTCTAGAAGTATTCAATGCCTCCAAACATAGGACATACTTATTCACATCTGGAATGGCCTTTAAAGCCACCAACAAGCCAGGAGCTAGACCAGAAACAAATTGCCATCCTTACAAGAATATGGTTTATTCACTAAATAGTCATGGAAACACATCATTCAGGACATCCATATATGAATTTGATACCAGATCTCAGAGAGTGCAAGAAAGCAGAGAAATCCTAGGATCCCTATAAGAGAAATTATCCTCTTTTCTTTAAAGGACCACAATATGCAAGCAACCATCACTCAATACTAGAGACTTATATAGACGCTACCCAATGTCTAACTACCCTTTTTAAAAGTAAGTTAATCAAGAAATGAGAAAAATGAAGACTTGAAAACCCATCTTTAAACTGCCAGTATCTGAATAAATTCCCCTCAGTAAGTGTTGGGCACAGAGCACAATATAGATAGAATACTCATTGCTCTGATGAATTACCTCCTATTCATCTAAAAGTATGTAAAGCCATGCTCAACCCACCATCTCTACTCTACTTTTGATATCATTGATCATTAAACACTCTTGTCCTGCCTCCAGGAGGCTACAGGAGATATGTCCTGAACTGGTGATAGCTCTTCCTTTCAGAACAAAGCTTGAGGGATACTATGGGAAATTGTTTCTCCACCTCCAAATCTTGTGGAGTGCCACAGTGCTGAATATTCCTCTCCCATATTTTCTAGAATTTACATGAAGTTGTAAGCATGAGGCTGCTAAGGCAACACCAGATGAAATACTAGCAATATACAAGTACCATACAGTTCCATGGCTCTTTTTCATCAGTCTTAAATAGCACCGGTCTCTAGCTCTCTTTGTCTATGCAAAATCACCATGTGGTTGAAAAGAACCTCGCTAAAGATTAACTCAGGAAAGGCTGACATTATGTCAGTAGGAAAAGGGGAGTGCTTTGAAGAACATTTATTACTGAGGGCATATAATCTCAAGTTGTGAAGACTGTCTGCAGACTTGTGGTCCTTTTGGACTTTCCAGTGCTACTGGGTGCCTAGCAGAGGATGTGAAAATAATACCCACTTCCATCTGAAACTGACTAAAGAGAGTGCACCATCTCCTGTCAAGCAAAAACCGTGATTGTGATCCTTGCATTAAGGATGTTAAGGAGCGGGTATTTGGCTAATCATGTAGTCAATAAAATTTTGTCGACTACACGATTAGTCAATAAGGGGAGGTATTCTGCAGAGCCATGGGAGGGTGGGGTAGGTCCTGGAGCCGGTGAGAGCTGGGAAAGAGCAGTCCCGGCTCGTGCCAACTCCAGGACTGCTGAAGCTCTGCATTTTAAATGTAGTAAGAGCTGTCAGGCTCTTACTACATTTAAAAGGCAGAGCTGCAGAAGGGGTATGTCCGGGACCTGGTGTGGGCTGGGACTGAGGAGTCCCGGATCAAACCAGGTCCCGGACTGCTGTGCCTCTGCCTTTTAAATGTAGTAGGAGCTGTCTGGCTCTTACTACATTTAAAATGCAACCGCCCCCCCCCAACCCCCCCCCCCCCCCCACCCTGAGAGAAGCAGCAGGGGCAGAGGTGGAGGCAGCACTGCAGAGATGGTGCTGGGGAGAGCTGGCTTAAAAGCCGGTTGCCTCCAACACTGTCTCTGCAGTGCTGCCTGTCCCTCCTCGCTGCTGCTACTGCCTCTGGTACAGAAGCAGCGGGAAAGGGGGCAAGCGAGTAGTCAAGTACTCAACTCCTTGCTTACATTCCTACCTTTCATGTGTAATTATTGCCACTCCCAACTAATAATGACGCCAGAAAAGATCAAACAGGCGCAAAACACAAAACTTTTCTGCTTAGCAACACAAGTCTCCTGAAATAAATCACTGCTGAATAAATCACTGCAGTGCTCCACTCTCAACACTCGATTCCCATTGAATACAAAGTCAATTCATGGTCTCTACCCGATATTCAAGACCTCCAGGAAATTGTCTATTACCATTTAAGGGATTGCTTCTCTCTCCCATAAACATGACCTTCCAGGACAGCCACATTCCAACAAAACAATCATAGAATCATAGAATCATAGAATAATAGGACTGGAAGGGACCTCGAGAGGTCATCGAGTCCAGCCCCCCGCCCTCAAGGCAGGATCAAGCTCCGTCTACACCATCCCTGACAGATGTCTATCTAACCTGTTCTTAAATATCTCCAGAGAGGGAGATTCCACCACCTCCCTTGGCAATTTATTCCAATATTTGACCACCCTGACGGTTAGGAATTTTTTCCTAATGTCCAATCTAAACCTCCCCTGCTGCACTTTAAGCCCATTACTCCTTGTCCTGTCCTCAGAAACCAAGAGGAACAAATTTTCGCCTTCCTCCTTGTGACACCCTTTTAGATATTTGAAAACCGCTATCATGTCCCCCCTTAATCTTCTTTTTTCCAAACTAAACAAGCCCAGTTCATGAAGCCTGGCTTCATAGGTCATGTTCTCTAGACCTTTAATCATTCTTGTCGCTCTTCTCTGTACCCTTTCCAATTTCTCCACATCTTTCTTGAAATGTGGCGCCCAGAACTGGACACAGTACTCCAGCTGAGGCCTAACTAGTGCAGAATAGAGCGGCAGAATGACTTCACGAGTTTTGCTTACAACACACCTGTTGATACAACCTAGAATCATATTTGCTTTTTTTGCAACAGCATCACACTGTTGACTCATATTCAACTTGTGGTCCACTATGACCCCTAGATCCCTTTCCGCCATGCTCCTTCCTAGACAGTCGCTTCCCATCTTGTATGTATGGAACTGATTGTTCCTTCCTAAGTGGAGCACTTTGCATTTCTCTTTATTAAACCTCATCCTGTTTACCTCTGACCATTTCTCTAACTTGCTAAGGTCATTTTGAATTATGTCCCTATCCTCCAAAGAAGTCGCAACCCCACCCAGTTTGGTATCATCTGCAAACTTAATAAGAGTACTCTCTATCCCAATATCTACATCATTGATGAAGATATTGAATAGTACGGGTCCCAAAACAGACCCTTGAGGAACTCCACTTGTTATCCCTTTCCAGCAGGATTTAGAACCGTTAACAATGAAACCATCTGACAGTAGGGGGAGGCAAATGAATGTGAGAGGCAAAAGTTTCAGAGGAGTTGGACCTAGGGCATGGAATTCGAACTAGGGAGGCTAATGAGGGTGACCGAAATTGCAAATGAAGCGTCAGTTATTCTGAAATAACACTGCTGCATAGATGTACCTTTAGGCTGTGTCTACATTGGCACCCTTTTCCGGAAAAAGGATGCTAATGAGACCAGTCGGATTTAAATTTTCCCCGCGGCATTTGCATGAACATGGCTGCTGCTTTTTTCCGGCTCGGGG